GGGAGGGAAGGGGAATGGGGAAAAAATAAGAACCAAGATACATCATGTAAAGGTACAAGATCCCAATGATGAATGTAACTGTATTGTATGCCTAAAATGTACCAATAACTTAATGAAAACCAAGTAAAAGGTTAAGAAGCTTATTCTGAATTGTTTTTTTGCTTTCAGCTTAAGCCTATGATATAAAAAATGTTTCTTTGGGGATATAAAACAAACCTGCAATTGGTAGGATAAACAAAACCACTGGTTTAGAAGAAAAAAAACACCTCAGAGATTACTGCAAGAAAATATCTTAGAAATCTTTTCACTTATGATATATAAGAATAAACAGAACCTACTCCTAGCTCTGAAGGCATTTAATAGTTCATTCTCTCTATATATATTAAAGAGATATTTAAGTCTGCTCAGGTTCAGCTCATTCCTTTCTCTTGATAGTTATGCTCTCTGTTTTCCCCTGTCCATGTGTTCCTGATGGGGCTGTCAATCATAGTGCATTTCTCCCCTACCTTATGAATGACATTGTCCTGAAAGATGCAGGAATGGAGCAATTCAGAAACTCATAATGAAGTCTTTCTACAGTGTCCATTAGGCCACTCTGTAGAGGAAAATACAAGTAAATGGCTATTATGCAAATGCTAGGAGTTCTCAGCTCTAGAATCAGGCCCTTGAGACCCCAATCTCTACAGCTCTTTGAATTATATGAGTTACTCTATGATCCTTTCCAACTACTACACTCAAGTTTTTGTTTAGGATGGTTTAAATTGGCTTTCATTTGTCACTTTCACCTGAAGGAATCTTGAAAAATTAAACAACTTGTCAAGATCCAATGGATCCTCAACAGTAGAGTCATCATCAAACTCAGGTCTGTTCATCTCTATGTAGCAGAATTTTCCTGTGATATTTTATTTATCACACAGATGATTTATTCCTAACATCTAGTTTCCCTTAAGAATGGAAAGGAAAGGAGCTGTGGTAGGTGTATGGGGGTGGTAAGATCTGTTGAATCCTTTATCATTTCCTGTTTGTAGGAATGAGCTGAAAGTGGCAAATATTGTAATACACACTAAAAATTTAACCCATTTTGTGTGGTACTTAATGCATATGAGAAGGAACCTAAGCAGGCTAATTTAAAAAAAACACAGTGAATACTGTTACCATATACCATCCAATGGAAAGGCAGGGATTTTCAATATGAGAAATGGTGAGTGGAATCTTAGTAATAGTGTGAGGTAGGTTTCATTTATAGTTCTATTCAAAGCATTTTAAGAACAGATTTAAACTTGTGAGTAGAGTGCAAAATTGGTTCCAAGCATTTTGACTGTTGAACAAAAGAAAGAGTGTTCCTCAATTTCACTAGAGTTGCTTCAGTTTCCAGCTTTATAAGAAATGTTATCACAGGAGATGAAACTCTGGTCTATGGTTATGATCCCGAGACCAAGATTCAGAGTCCTCAAATGAAAATCACCCAGTTTTTGTTGTGTAAAAAAAAAGCAAGTCAATTAAGATCCAACATCAAGGTGATGTTTTTTGACCTTGATGGAATTATGTAAACTGAGTTTGTACCTAGGAACACTACAGTGACTATTATAAGGGCTTGAGAGCAATTAAATAATATGGAAATCATTATGGAAATCACTATGGGGGATTCCTCAAAAATTTCATTTGACCCAGCTTTCCCCTCCTAGGTATCTCCCCCAAAAGTTAAAGACATCACACCACAGTGATGTATGCATACCCACCTTCATAGAAGCACAATTCATAATAGGTAAATCTTAGAAACAACCTATATGTCCTTTAACAGATGAATGGATAAAGGAAATGTTTTTATACACAATGGAGTACTACACTGCTGTAAAGGATAAACTTGAGTCACCTGTAGAAAAATTGACGCACCTTGAGACCATAATGTCAAAATATCACATGGTTTCTCTTATATGAAAAACAATATATATCTGAAATAGATAAAAGGAAAAAAGAGAAAAAAACTTCTTGTACTCAAGTGCAGAAAATGTATCTAAAAGTGTACCCTGACTTAGTGTAATTGTCTAATGCGTATTATATGTTTTTTGGCCCATTATTACGGCTTTTAATGTGTGTATATATGATTAACTTTAAAAGTGCTGGCAACAGGCTGGAGATTTAGCCTGCCTCACAAGCGCAAGGTCCCAAGTTTAATCCCCAGTACCAAAAAAAAAGTGCTGGCAAAATAAAAGGGGGGATGAGAGGAAGGGGAAAAAAATTGAAACGTATTATGCACATGTATCAATTCCCTACATACTGTAAAAAGTGTACTAATAAAAATCAAAACAAAGTTAAAAAAAAAGAAATGGTGTGCATAAAGGCCTAGAAAAATAAGCAATTTCATTTCTATCATGACAATGTGCTGTGTCATACATTGTACATCACTGGTACAGCAATTTCTGTTAAAAAACCTTACTGTGTGTCCTCATCTACCTTTTTTAACTAGGTTTGGCACCGTGTGACATCCAGTTCTTCCCTAAAGTCAAAATGACCATGAAAGAATTGTTTTGAATCTATCAGGTCATCAAAGCAGCCATGATAGTTCAACTAAAGATTGGAAAAATAACTTCAGGACTGGTTCAGAAGTGGCAAGAACAACAGGATCAGTACATTATAAGTACATTTAAAGTGAGGGGGAATATGCATCACCGGTATACACAAAGAAAAGCAATTACTAAAATGATGCAACTAGCTTAAAAATTAATTTTTAAATAATAATTTTAATTTTTAAATCAAATGTAATTTCCCTATTTTAAATGCTTACTTTCTCCTACTGTAATTAATATATGATTCAAAATTCTTATTTCTTTCTTACCTTATTACTACTCGTTTATTCAGTTATTATTAGTAAGGGTCTTACAATTTTTGTTTGCCATCACATTTTTAAATAGTCTTTTTTATAGAAAGTACAAAATATTTGTTAAACTAATAAATTATACTGTTACAAAATGAAAGCTACTACTTTGATACTCACCAGTATTTTGAAATTGAAGGATGAGGGATGTTTTCTCCTATAAAGTGGAATGAAAATTGATTAAAAGCCCAGGTGTCAGTACTTAAGAACAGCACATGAATTCTGATTGGGGTTAGGCAAAGGTGAGTCTTGGGAATTTCAAGGCAAGGTAGAAAGGATTCCTTTTTCAACTGGAGCAGCTCTTCACTCATCAGTATTTCACAGAGACATTCCATACAGGCTTTTTTTTTTTTTAAAGAAGTTTTATTTTTAATTGATATATAATAA